CAGCCTCCCCTTCCTCTTCCGTACTGAAAAACTCAAAGCTCATGAACTCACTACAGAGAGATTTTTACTTCACGTCAAAAATTCATAGTTTCGTATTTTCAAAATACAGTGTTCTTCCTAAGTACAACTTCGACACGCCAGTATACAGGAATTTCCAGGAGAGGTTGCTAGACATCTGCATTGATCTTTTTTTTTTTGTCATAGCTAGCGTTTGCTCTTTCTTTCTGCCATAGCCAGTGTTAGTGTGTTGGGTTGGTGGCTAAGCGGCTCGTCGACTGCCCTGGCGCTCCGGCTTGTCGAGTAGGGTCGTCGAATCCTTGGCGACAGTTCGGGCTAGTAGGGTCCGTGTCCTTCGAGAGTCGTCTGGGTCGCCTCCACAATACCACAACACCACACTGCTTTACAATATTGACACAGCGGCCTTATACAGGCCACTTCGCGCCTATATAAGGCCGTTGTGTCAATATTTTAAAGCATTACATGACCTACATAGGAGGGAGTCATGGTGCAACAAGTGACTATGTTTCGCATAAATCGTCGGTATCTAGAAAAGCAGTAGCAGCTGAAGAAAAACTCTACATTTTGCAAAAAACAACGGCACGAATAGCAAACCGTAAGCCTCTCAACGCACCATCTCCGGCTGTAAACATACATCTACTAGAAAGAATGCAAATTTTAACTCTCCCCAAAGAAACATCATGAAACTGCGATGCATTCGCGACAAACCGACATTTTGCTTTGCGATCAATTTCAATTCGCTGTTTACCAGGCCTATTTTAAGCTTCAACAGCACCTTATTCATTTTCGTGAGTACTTTTTGCAGTGAGGATTATATCACTTGAAAAAAAAATCGGATTGAGAAAAACTACCACTTATGCATGATCACCGCCAATTACAAATAGGAATTTTTACGACCATAAATTAACAAAATTAAAAAAAGAGTATAAAATCAGGTTCGATTAATAAAAAACAGATATTATTTGACCTGCTAGATTAACTTATGCGAATTTGCTTTGTT